GATAAAATCATAGCTCAAAAATACAAGTAGATCTAGTCAACCCTCCTTATGAAAAGCAGATTTCACAAGAAAGCAGAAGCAAGGTTAAACATCTAGAAAATGAAAAATGGTTAGGAGAATGGAACTGATCTGAAGAAGCAATTGAAAAATCATTTTAGTAGAGGAAAAAGTATTGGTTAATTTCGGTACGTAAACCATAATTGTAACAACAAAAATACCTACTTACTTACTGGCTGCGATACGAAATTAACAGCCCTTGTTCCCTTCAATGTAAAATGAGCTGATTTAATTTAAATCAGTGCTGATAATTCTTGCACGACATTTCTTGCATAAATTAACTCGTGTCCTATACTAAGGCACATTTTTATGAAGACAATACTGTTATATTTCTGTCTAAATGTGGGAAACCTAAAATGAAACACCATTCTTCTACGAAAACCAGAACTGAGTAGACTGTCCAAACCTTTGCAAAATGCACTTGTGGTATGCATTATAAAGTTTCTTTGTATCCCCCCTTTCTGTAATAATTGCACTTAGACACAACGCACATTTCATATTCTGCACAGTGGGTCCATGTGGGCACACAAAACATACTCCTGGTTTTCCCTCAGCCTGAAAAAGCATCAACTGCTGTACCTACGTAAGGAAACCCTATGACTTATTGTTGTTGTAGGATGCAGACTGCATGACAAAGTGCATTTGCATTTTTTCATCATTAAAAATAACATTTTATCTTTTAAAATACTTCAGCCACACTCTTGACCTAGCCATCTATCCAACCAGAACATCAACTGTGTGAGTTCTGTTCCAGGCACGGAACGTAACTGCCCAGTGGAGGTGGTAATATCCATCTTCAATCTGTTAAATTATTACACAAAAGTACACCTGAAGAAGAACATTTAAAGATTCTTCCTCTGAAATGGCTGCAGAAATCAACAGTGCTTTCACCTCTGCTGTCTACCGGTTTAAAACCAAAGCAAACAAATTCAAACAAATTCAGTTACATGTTATGGTAACACACAATGTGTTAAAAAACAGTATCATGACAAATTAGAACTACTAAGAAAACATTATGTATTCTGGAGGAAAAGGAGTACTGAAAACTTCTGAAGTTTATATAGACCTATATCCACATATGTATTGGCATCAGTAGTCTAAAATTATTAAGTAAAAAAAAAAAAATCTTACTTTAACTTCCTCCCAAACAACCCGCACCAGATGTGTGACATTTTATTTAAGAATAGCACAAAACCAAGAGAAATTTCAGCTTTTAAGGGAGTAACTGAAACAATCTTCATTTGCACTAGTGGAAATTCACGTTTGGGGTTTTTTCCCCAGTGCTATTCACCTGTATTAGTGAGGAAAGACAAAATGAATGAGCCCAATTCTTTCTCATATAACCCCATTACAGCAAGAAGCGACAGCAGGAAAAACTTAGCCTTGTATCACTTGGAAAGATCCCTCTTCTGAAAGGAACACGTTAACTTTGTGTTTGAAAAAAGTATGAGACCATTTTAAGGACAAATTAACATCAAAAAGCAAAAGTTAGATTAAGATTCAAATTTTAAGTTGAAGCTCTGTTTAGTAAAAAGGAAACATTTTCAATAATCAGTAGCATTAAACAGAAGATTGAAATTTTTCTGCTTATTAGCATAAAAGTTTCATTTTTGAAAAGCTAATAACCAGAATTTTCATATGAATAGAAATCCTGCACAGAAACAAGACGCAATAAGAAATATCACTAAATCAGCAACATGACAGATCTTATAGCAGCTGCTAGTCCTTCTTAAATCTTGACTGAAATTGTTAATCAACTTTAAAGCCCAGGCATGCTATTTCCTGACAGTACATTGGGAGAATTAATAAATATTTGGTTCATGTACAGCCTTTCAGTTTATAAATTAAAGAGCACATGAAATTAATGTTGAATCAGTTAAGAAGCCAAATATTTTATTTAAAACATTTTAAACTTTTGCACAATTCAAGGATTATTTTCATGCTGTACATACAAACAAGAAAATAAAAGCTTGTAGTATCTAACAGCAAAATGAATTGATACTGCTAAGGATAACCCATCTCCGACACATTTACTTTATTTGAAAAATGTATTTACAGAATAACTACTGACAAAAATCAGTGGGATATAAATGGTTTTAAACTATTCAAGAAAAAAATGCAGTTAAACATTATGAGTAAAGTACTTCAAAAATCTATTTTAAATTCTGGTGTATTTTATGTTACTTTATATTAGACATTTCAATAATTTTAAATTAAAAATTAATGCAAAAAGTTTTAATAATTAAAAATATTTTTTAAAATTTATAAAATTTTATTTTAGTATAAACAGATTTAATTTCAACCTCTTTGCCCTAACCCAGTTAAGGTTTAATACAATCGGTTTATATCTTTATAGCTTAATCTGCAGGTATTCAGAAAAATAATTACAGCTATTCTTTGATAACACTGCCATCTAGTGTATATTATAAATTAGAAAGAAGCATTTATTTGAATTTTTTAATTCTGCAACTTAGTTTAAAGGGGAATTACACTCCACGCACAAACTATGCCTTCAGTAGTACTTAACTGTGCACTGGAATAATGACATTTGTTCTCTCATCTGGAATGTACGGTAAACATGCAGACATACTAATTTTGAAAATACACTGTAAAACTCTATTATCTAATACATTCGCATCTTAAGTATACCACGATATTTTGGGGAACCAAAAATAAGAGAATATACAGCCAACATTCTACACACAAATTTTTCTACATAGTGCTCCCACTCTCGTCATCATCATTCCCTTTCGCATTACTTGAACAAAGTAAACCAAAATTTGCTCCTTGAGACTGGCAGAGTTCAGGCAAAGCTCTAAATTTCACATTTGCGGTTGGACAGTCAATTATTTGGCTTCTTGCCTGTTCTTTCATCTTACACCTTAAAGGTTGCACTCTTTCAATCTTAAAAATGAAATTTCTTTGGAAGATCACATTGACAGTGTTGAGGAAGGGAGGCTTAAAACACGAAGTACCTACCTACGTGGTGGATCATCAGTAGATTTAGGGCACAAGTGAAACCAATCTGAACATTACTTGGATTCTATCTCTCTTTCTCCCGAGTTTCTGTAACAGTCACATACGACTCCATTTCTTACTGAACTAAACCTAGATCAACCATTGCTGATAAACTAATATCATTAAACAAGACAACCACCTTTTGCCTCAGTATTCTGAGTTTCAGCTTCAACACTTTTGTGTCTTAAATCAAAACTGCACTACCTAGAGCAAAACACAAAACCTGTAACATTCTGTAAGGAAAGGGGTGTGACCAATACCTTGACTGACAGACTTCTCAACAGACTTCACAGTGCAGTGAATTAAAGAATCAGCACAACATTCATATAAAAGCGATTATTTCAGGCTACATCTTACACTAGCCAGACACAAAAAGTGAGTTGATACAGCTGCCCAAATTTATTCATTTTTATCAACACTAACATCCCTGTCATCTTTGTACTCCAAAGTTGCTATAAGTAGCTGCAAGGCTGCAGCTGTCATCCAAAGGCTGGTCAGAAGCCACCTTCTTCAGTGTCCCTTCATATGGCATTTGCCCATAGGAAACTTCACATAGCTTTGAAATACTCAGAGTTAGGGGTCCTTCTGAAAGCACAGTAAATAGCTGAGGTGCAGTGAGGTGATGGATGAAAGGCAAGAAACAAGTACAGGATGCATAAATGTGTCTAAACTTGATTTTTTCAGCCACTTCCTGAATCCCTCTGAAAGCTAATCCACTGACCACTCAAAGGGGTGCAGACTATAAGCTGAAAAAATCACTCTCCTAACTACAAAAAAAGGTAAATGCTTGTATTAACAGATTTTTGAGGTTGTCTAATAATTTCTCATGTCTCAGATCATACAACAACCTTAAACTAAAGAAGTTTAAGTGAAAACATTATGTGAAGGTGTAAGTTGCCTTGTGCATCTGTAAAGCACCTGGGTCCCCACTACTACTAACAAAGATACTCACATGTCACTCATTAAATATGGTACTACAATTCCTCACCACCTTGATTGCCTGATTTTATAATATCTATATTTATGGTTGGTTAGTCTACAAGTTTGGGAGATGAATTTTACCAAACGTGTGAACAGTGATGATTAAAGCAGTAGAAAAATTGTTTAGGTATCTCGAGGATATGTTTTCTAGAACTTTATATGAATGCAGACATCAGATTTAAACAATCCCTGGTTAAATTTGAGACCTACCAGAGAAAGGTAGAAAATATTTCTATAAGTTAAGCACAACTGGAAAGCAGGGAAGAAACTGAGATCTTCTAAGGCGGACATAAAAGATGTAAGAATCAAGTTGGTAACGGAAAACTATCTTTACTTACACAGAATAGGTATTTACACTTTAAAAAACCCAGAGGTCTCAAGAAAACTCTAGATTTACCGAATTCCACTCAACTCTATAGTTATGCTGCCATCTAGTGAAACAGGACACCAACTCTACTCTGCAACTGTTAAAGTTGGTCCAAATGAAAAACATTATCCCCAAGATACATGTATCACAGCAAACACTTTTCACCTGCAAATACCTTATTTTTTCCCTCTGCTCCCTCTTCATCACTACATTTGTGTAACGATATGTTACAAGGTGACTAATTCTGGACACAGGACAGTGAAACACACTGTTAACTGGAAATGCAAACAGGCTAACATACTTCCATGAGAAGCCAAAGAACTAGTCAACACAGATCACAGTCCAGGATCAGGAAAAAGTTATCTATTAGAAGGTTTCAGACCATTACACAGATAAAATCTTGCATTCACAGCTAGTAATACAGATAAATATTACTCTGAGTCTTTAAGTTAAATTACTGTTGTGGTTGTTTTCTCGTTACGTTTCATTAGAATGATGGCTTACAAAAAACAATGCAAATCCCTTTGAAAAATTCCAGACAGTAAAAAGGAAACAAAGACAGTAAATACACACCCACCTGGGAAAATATATTTGCGGTTGGAGCAATTCTGTTGTCCACAATACTATATAATATTGCCAACAACCTGTCCAGGGGAAACGGCTTTGGCCCAAGGAGGTGATTGCTGGTCTGCAACAGAAACAAGATTTTTCAATCCAAAAGATCTCTCCTGGAGTACCACAAGATGTTTTTCCCACATCTTTTTAGTCTCTGGGAGGCACTATGACTCACAGTAGTCTTTCATACAGGCTACTCATTTATTACAGAAAACACTGAATACGTGCTTATTGATCAAGATAAAGATACAGATATGGAGCTCTATTTAACATGGCAAGAGCTCAAACTATATAATAAACAGGAACATTTTTGAGCTATAAGAAAGGATCTGGTGCCAAATTTCCTGTCACTAGATTTATAGATTTACTTGTCCTACTAAATTACCTTGCTTAACCTAAGGATTAAAGAGGAAAGAGTAAATTTCATGAGATTCTCAAGGTGCACACAGTTTTCTTCACAGTTTATCAACAGTAAGACTGTTAAGAAGTTAGTTTTCTTAAAAGCACACAGAATTGCTAGCTAGTGAAGATATTTAAAGGTTTAGATTTATTCCATTGTCTACAGTCAAGTCTATAATCCACAGTCACCTACAAAGAACTGCACACAACAGAACAAGAATTTTTACAAATCTATAAAATCAAACAACTTTTAAGTATATTTATTTTTGTGTGTTTTGCTTACTGAAGACAAATATTGTACTAGCACGTGCATTTTGAAAAAGGAGAAAAAAGAGAAGATTCTGCTAAAGTATCAATGCATCCACTTTCTTTGAATCATCTTAGATAACGACTTTTCTCTTCCTCTCACAGAGGTGAAAAGTCATAACAAGAGTTCCTCATCTTAAATGCCAAACTAAACTCCAATAAACAGTCTTATGGTCCAGAAGAGGAGTAGAATAACTTGGCAGTGGGCACCAACTGTAATACAAGAAATTTAATTTAAACACAGGAAAAAAAACCTTTTTTATCCTGAGGGTGGTTAAACACTACAACTTATTGACCAGGCAGGTTGTGGAGTCTCGATCCTTGGAGACATTCAAAACCCAACTGGGCATGGTCTTCAGCAACCTGCTCTAGCTGATCCTGCATGAGCAGGAGGGTTGGACTATACCAGAGGTCCTTGCCCACCTCAGCTCTTCTGTGAATTTCACTTTCTTAACCAACTCTATCTTAAAAATTGCATCAACTATCTCTGCAGGAATAAAATGTATTAACTCCTCTTTTTTTTCCCAATGAAATTGATGAGGTTTTTTATATATTTGACTGATTTTAACTTTGTCATTTTCAATTTCTTTTTTGCTTCCTTTATACCACAATGAAAATGTTACCATTTGATACCAAAACCAACGAAATATCTTTGATCAGCAAATTAGAAATGCGAACACTTCAGCTTTCTGATTTACACAGGAAATGCCCTTACATCTATCTTCCTACTTTCTTAAAATACACTCAATCATAGGATAATTCTGGCTGGAAGGGACCTTAGGAGGTCTCTAGTCAAACCCCTCCTGCTCAGAGCAGTCTCAAGGAGGAGGTCAGGCCAGGTTGCTCAGGACTTTACCAGTCCTGTCTTGGAAACCTCCAAGGACAGAGACTGCACCACCTCCCTGGGAAATCTATGTCACCGCCTGGCCGTCCTCATTAGGAAAAAAGTTTTCCTTATACCCACAAATATCTCCTTTCAACTTACACTCATTGTTTCTCGTTCTCTCACCACCCACCCTTGTATCATATAGCCTTGATGATCTCCGTGCCTGTACAGGACAGGCCACTTTTAGGCCTCCCTTCTCCAGCTTGAACAACTGCAGTTCCCTCAGCCCCTCCTTGCAGGGCAAGGGCTCCAGCTGCTGACTATTTTGATGTCTCTCTGTTGAACTTGTTCCACTTCATTGATGTGTGTCTTGTACTGGAGAGGTCAAAACAGGACAGAATATTCAAGAAGCAACCCAGAGTGCTGAGTGTGAGGGCCCAGCGTGCATCCGCCTCCCACGAGTTTAGCTGGCTAAAATCAAGAGTTCAGTGGGCTGAGACCAAGGTCAGCCCCTTTGCTGGTAGGTAGCTCTTTATACAGAGGCTCTTGACAGCTACAGACAAACTGTGTTATCAGAGCACTGCATATTTACCCAACTTTGCGTATACAGAGCTACTCTGTCCCTTCTCCTTCTTTTGCACCATACACATCATCTCCACATTTCAGCTGACGCTGATGGACATTTCAGGCATTACAGATTATCACACGTAGTAACATTGAATTAGATTGAATTCACAGAATTATGAGTTCCTGATTTTTCAATGTTAAATATTTTAAAAATAAACAATTTTACAAAAAGGAGTAGTACAGTTCACAGGGCAGAACTGGGTAGCATTCCAACTCAGGCAGCACTGTTACGACTACAGAGATTTATTTACAACCCAGACTGTCAAAAGTTCTGACAAGGGAAATACTTATTTCTGTGTAAGTTTGTATTTCATTCTCTCTACTTTAATATACAGTTTCCTTTTGTTTCTAGTGTACATTGATTTATTCTCACTAGTAGTGCAGTCAAGACTAAAGAGGAATTTCAAAAGAAAGTTTATTTCAAAATGTTTCTGGGAAAGAACATCTCTCAAATACACCACCAGCACCTCTGTGGTATTAGCCATCAGTAAAACACAACCACTCACTTCTTCAGCAAAACAAAAAGGTATTTCTAATACATGTTTTACCTTTTCAGATCCAGGAGGTGTCCCCAAAGCTACCTCTTGGCTAACAAAGAAAGCAGTGTGAAAAATAATGGAAATGTAGTCAAAACTTTAGCATGGCACCATCAGTCAGAATGAAGGTATGGTGTAACTTATGAACTGCACTGCCTCCTGCTCTTCTGCTTCTAAACACGCCAGTTCTTTGAAGCATATTCTCTATGCTCATCAGAAAAAGTCAACAAACATACAGTAATTACAACGTGTGCACTCTAAGCAGCTAGCGAGCACAACTAGCATGTGGCCCTGAAGTTGTATTTAGTATACAGCTACTTCACAAGTTTCTTGCTCTTAATATTATCAGCTCTCTGCTTAGACAGAATACTGTTTTGAACTTTCAAATTATTTGAGATAAGTCAGAAGAGTTAATTCTAAGAGAGTGTAACTTCTAGAAGAAGCACTTCATTTTTATTTCTTTGACAGAAGTAAATTCCTGGAAGAATAGGAATGGTTTACAAATTCCTCCAAACAGAACATAGTAAAGAATAAGATTTTTACAAATCTTCTGGAAGGAGCTAAGGCAGAATACCACATAGAATAGCATTTATAAAAATCCAAGGGACTCCTCAGCTCACTTAAAAACAAAAGATACCTTCCACATTCAGAAAGCCTCTTAAAAAAGTTTTACAGACATCAAATAACTCTGTGTCCAGTATTATCTTTCCACTCTGTTAATTCACTCATCTAATGGTTCAAAAAAAGACTTTTCCCCAGTTGCCATAATCCGTGCTCATGATTTTAGATACAGTGTAGATACAGTGTCAGAGTTTCATGTTCCCATTGTTTAAATGGCTTAAAATTTTCACGATCCTACAACCGCAAGCCATGCGTTCACTTTCCAAAATTTCATGAACAAGAATGAGAATCAAATGCATTCTTTAAAGAGGAAAAGCTTAACCAAAACTAAATTACCTGCACAAAAGGGAGAAAGTCCTTACCTGGCTGAATTTTCAACCTTTTTAGCATACACCTAAAGACAGAACTATACTTCTCACTTTTTTTTAGCAGAAAACTTTTCTGATCTTCCCTGGTTGCTATATGAATTAAGCATCTTGGTTGTAACCTAGAAATTCTGATACAAAACAAATCCTAGACTGAAGTTGAAGCAGATATATCAGACAAGCTCTTTCACAATAAAAAACACACCACCACATTCGATCTGCTGAGGGACTGGCATCTGAAAACGCATACTCCTGCAAAAGTAGCTTCATCAGGAAGATCTCTCACTGGTCACTAAACTGGAAAAATACTGTTCCAGGGCAACCATGCAAAGAAAGAAATACAACAAATTCTGCTGTTATCAACAACAAGGCAACTAATAGAATGATAAAGTCAATTTTTTTCCCTCATTCACAGGATTTACTTTTGCTAACAGAAAAACCCACAGCCTCTGAACTGAACAGAGTTAAGAATCAAGAAACAGATTTTTAGCCTGGTTGTACCTAAACTTTTAAGGAAGGATTTATTTAATCTAATGTTAGCTTCCTGCCAAGTAGCTATGTACAGCCAAACTAGTTTCCTAAGTTCCTATTATAGGCAGTAGAAATCTAATCAATACAGTTTATGGTGCAATTCATCTGACTGAACACAGAACCTACTTTAGTACGAGACGAATCACACCCTACACTCCAATGACTGCACTGACTAGCTCTGCACTGTCTATAAAAAGACACCAGCTTAGATGCAGGCACCCACTTGGAGTTAGGTGAATCTGATCTGTAAATCAGTTTTCAGACAAGCTTCTGTAAGGGAAGGTATACTAATATAAGCTGTCATACCTACTGAAGCAAATTAGACTTCATTTATAAAACTACATGTGTAGTAATCCTTTATCCCTATATTTCAGTTTCTCTCACTACAGAATCATTGTACTGAAATATACAAGCTTACACCTCGGGAACTGTATCTCTGTGCAAATATTTGTAAAGGTTACAGTACAGTAATAGGAACACAGGCCCGGAATATCCTCTTAAGACCTGCAGTCCTGTTTTCCACTATCACAGCTACCATGCCTCAAAAACTTTCAAAAACAGACTGTGCTCTAACCTACAAGTAGTTTCAGCTTCTAGCATCAGCTCTTATAGCAAAAGGGTCCTTACCTGTAAACTATAAAGTGACGCATAAGCAGAGAACCAGTGCTCTGTAACTAGAAGCAAAGGTACCCTTGAAATGCCAGAATTCCCATCCTATCCTCTAATGCCTAAGACACACTCCTGTTTCTTGCATGCAATCAGAGTTTAATGTAACACAGTGAACTCGAGATATTTTGTTAACTATATTTGATTTACTTGATTATGCAGTTCCAATTCTCTCCAAAGTAACACTAATTTTTAACACAACAAAAAGGTGCAGGAATTAGATCATTTGCAGTCTTAGAAGTCTTTCCTGATTATGCAAGCTACTTGTTACAGTTGGACAAACCAAGCTTCTTTAACTGCACATATCTCATCATGCTTTCAGAATATCACTTCAACGCTTAGGTTGTAGGGTAAATGTAAAGTCTACAAAATTAGAATTAATCTAATTAAAGTTTTAAAAAGTAGCTGAAATCTTATGTATTTTTTGACCATTAATTTTGTTTACACTAGTTTACATTTGTTTGAGTTACTCTCATTTACAGTTCTTTCCTCAGTACCTCCTTCTGTTCTGTTTTTGTACCTACTCAGTAGCATTTCATTTGCTAAAGTAACAATAACAAAATGAAAAACAATTTATCATTAATGCAGGCACTTCTGAACACTAAGTAACAAACTTAGATACAAGTCCATTTAACATAAACAGTAACACAAGAGAACAAGCTCTATGGTACAGTTAAGGTGATCACGACCTCAGTATTTCTTCATCAACTCTCTATTTTCCCATTTCTTTTACGTTCCTAGCTGTTCCTGTCTCCCTAGGTGTTCCCAGCTCATCAACCAAGTGGGAAATTTATTTCCAAGAAAGAAAAAAAAACCCAAAACACCTTTCCTGCAGAGGATGCAAGGAAAGAAGAACATTTTGGTGTAAGACACAATAACCATTCCTTCTCCTGAAAATTATTTATCAACTAATTAAGATGTGGAGGTATTTCAAGAATACAGTAGTCCTGAAAATAATTAAATGCTCTGGAAGTTCCCAGTAGTTCACATGCCAGGGACAACACACAAGAGGTCAACACTGTGCCAATACATAAATAACAGAACTTGGAAAAATGTCTTTGGATAGACAAGGACTCTCTCCTAGTGCAGGGGAAGGAGAAAAATTAGAGAAAAAACTACAGGCAGGATCAGAAGCAAAGGATTATTAGGCTAAGTAGGATATTAACATTTTTTCTCATATTATTTACATTGCCTGTAGCATAGAGAAGAAAAGGATATAATGATTGTGTCGGCAGGTACTTAGTGCTGCCTGCACTGCTTTTCATTTATGGATTTGTTTAAAAAAAGTCAAGTTACAAATGTTAAAATTTGATTTCTCTTTTTACATTACAGTTATAAATACATATATAGGTATTTGCTTTTCCTAGAATATCAAGCCTCTGTCAGTAAAAACTGGTACAGTTCCACTGAAATCAATTATATTTAGCTATTTATAACCATGAAAGAATGAGTTACTAGTCTGACGGAATCCTAAACAACAGACAGAAGTGCAAAGTTTCCAAGCCTCAACACAGAAACTTAAGCTCTTACACCTCATTAGACCACTGGGAATTAAAGTGACATGACTTTCAAAACTAGTAACCACCTATTATTCTAACATCTTTGAGAGTAATTCTGATATCTAGCTCTTCCATGTATGATGTCGTTTAACTAGCTGTATTAAGCAAATTTTGTTATATACAAAAATATGGCTTTAGGAGACAAATGTATGCTACAGGTAAATCTCAATTAAATAAAAATCTGTGTATCGTACAGAAATCTGTATCATATGAAACAAATGCACCACTAATTGTTAGTTATGCAATTCTGTTTTTTTTTTACAGTAAACGATGAGGCAAAACAAAATACAAAACCAGCAGCACAGTAGAAAGAAAATATTTGTTGCTAAGCTCAGGTTAGAAAGATAAAATACATACCTTTTCATGTTTCTTCATAAAGTTGGTCTTTCTAATTTTCCCATGATGCTGTAAATAACAGACAAAAGCAAATATTATATGTAAATTCTTTTATGCACCTTCTATGGCGAGAATCAAAATAGTCAAAAAAGAATTGTGTACTACATATGGTAGTACACTAGTCTGGGTCTGCTTCTTTACTACACCTCTGATGTTACTAGCAATTGTTCTTGCTAGAAGCCCTAAAATTACACTTGCCTTACTTCTTGCTTCATGTGTCACAAGTGGTACAAAGCCAGAAAATAACACACTAATATTTTTTTGGTGACAGACTTTTTTTTTTTTCCTGCCCTAATCAGAGACTGATGAGAAGAGGCTGTAGAAATCTATTTTTAATATCACTTCATGCCATCATCTACCTCCTACCCTCAATTATCTAATGAAAAAGAAAGATGTTGCATTTCTTTCTCTTCCCAGAGAAGATTAAATGACGGCTACTTAATTTTTAAAATGTATCCATGCGTGAATTTTTCACCTTTTATGTGCTCCAATTTAGAATTCAGATGGTACGCAAGTAGGCAGAATGACAACCAGAAATTGAATCAATACAATACAAAGATAGTTCAAGGTGCAGGAGCTAAACGACAAACAGAAAGGAGAAGTCTGGGAGGAAGTAACATAATTTAAAAAGGCAGAGCTCTAAAGCAGACTTAAGAAAGGAAGGACTGTCCAAAGGAAATAATCAAGTGTTCTTGGCTGTCAACTGAAAATGTGAGGGCAAGACAAGGACAGAAATACACTAAAGAAAATGTTACAAACAAATGTGTTAAAAAACTAAAGACAAAGAGAGACACGAAGGATGACACGTAAATCATGTAAAATTAGTGGAGAAGTGCAAGTATAATATTCTTTAAACACAGTTAAGTACCATTTCTCAAAATATCACCTGATGAGTTTTTCCATAGCCTTGAGAAGTATACCTTATTAATATGTATGTTATAAGCATGTGCAATGAATCATGGAAAAGAGATCTCAAATGATTGAATTATTTTTTCATTATAACTTTTAAAATCTTGTATTTAGCATTTGTGGACCTCAATACTCAGCCATGTCAAGAAGATCTCAGTAACTGTGGCTTCTCTTGACTGACTTCTTAATATTAGACAGGGCTTTAAGTTCCCTTTAAATAATTTCCCAGTCTAAAAAAAAAATTAGTTTGTTCAATTAATACATATCACACTGTCATGGTTTAACTGTGGCCAGCAATAAGAACCACACATTCGCTTGCTCACTATGCCCCACAGTGGGATAAGGAGAGAATTGGAAGGCTAAGAGGAAGAAAACTTGTCGGTTGAGATTAAAAAAGTTTAATAATTGAAATTAATAATAATAATATGGAAAGCAACAAAGAGAGAGAAATAAAACCTAAGAAAGACAAGTGTTGCAAATGAAAACAATTGCTCATCACCAACCAACTGATGCCTAGCCAGTCCTCGAGCAGCAGCCCCCCTACCAACCTCCCCCCTAGTTGATTGCTAAGCATGACACCACATAGTACGGAATATCCCTTTAGTCATTTGGGGTCAACTGTCCCAGATGTGTCCCCTCCCAACTTCTTGTGCACCCCCAGCCTACTGACTGGTGAGGTTGTGTGAGGAGCAGAAAAGGCCTTGGCTCTGTGCAAGCACTGCTCAGCAATAGCTAAAACATCCCTGGGTTATCAACACTGTTTTCAGCACAAATCCAAAACATAGCCCCATACTAGCTACTATGAAGAAATTTAACTCTATCCCATCCAAAACCAGCACACACACATACTTCAAGACAGCAAAGTAATCTTTTTATCATGCCTTCAAAAAGAAGACTCCTGTGAGGTTACACAGCATGCTAATGATAGATCACAACAAAGTGCATTCATGTGTTTTAAAGGTTATGCTGGGATTTCCATACCGTAGATTTACATTATACCAAAAAGTGTTTCAAAGAAAGTGAGCCGGTGCCCTATTTGTGTGCAAGCACAAAGAAACATATGAAACTCAGAGATAATTTTCATATAGTTTTTAATCCTGTTTTCTATTAAAATGATAAAAATGAAGATTTCATATAGATCGCTATTCTTTTTTCTTTTAAGGACCACCTTTCAACACTAACTTCATATTTTTCACTTAGTCTATCATAAATTGAACTTTCACATAACTAATAGCAGTGCTGCCAATTAATACTTCATTGCTTTACCAGGCTGTTAGCATTCCAGGCTTCCAGAAACTGTGAGTTTATCTTTAGCTGTAGTATAGCTTAACACCTGTTATCAGTACTGCAGATGAGCAGCTCAATGACCATCTTTTTGTCTGCGTCCCTTTTGCTGTCTAGCAGTCCTTAGCTAAATAACTCCTGAAGGTACTTTCCTACTCTGAATCTCACTGTAAACCTGAAAAAAACATATTCTATTTTCACAGTCCACATGACTCATAAAAACACTCAATTCAAACACTCCCCCAAAAGTGCTTGTTTTGTTGGGCTTTGAGATGCAGCTATTTCTGAAATTCGCCTTAGCACCCCATGAAGAGCTAACTGCTGTCAGATGCTATGTATAACAAGAACAGTAACTTCTCCTGCTTCACCAATTCTTGGAAAAAATACTTAATATTGCTACTTGAAATACCTTCACAGTCCCTGCTTCAAAAACCTTAGAAGCTCATGTTTACTGTACAAAAGTTTATTAGGGTTCTATGCAAGCACGGAAACTAATTTCAGAGATAATAAAAAAAGAAGAAAGGAAAAGTGAAATTGAGAAGGTTGTTCAGTGAACACAATCAAGAAAGATGTGGCATTTTTTTATAACATTCTTTATTGACTTGACTTTTGTAAGCTTTCCAGTTTTTGAGTTCTAAGACTGATATGGAAATATCTGGGTTAAAGCACTTCCTTCAGCAAATAAATCTCCTTACAAATAAACCACTTTGGCCAAGGGAAAAGAACAAAGGTTGCCCATAAAGAACTTGCCAATCTATGCTTACTACAAGTAATCCTCCACTCTTCTCAGGAAAAGAGTAGACAGAAGGGTGAAACACCTACAGCTTTCAATGTAAGATATAACAGAAACAACAAAACGCAGATTTAAACTAAGAACTTACTAGCATATCACCACTAGGAACTGCAGTAACTTTTCAAAACATGTATCTACAATTTTTTTTTTCAAGATGGAAGAACAAAACAAGCATACTTTTACAAATTTGTCTTGTTCTCATTTTCTTCAACTGTTCATGAATATCATACATTTATACATGCATGCATATATTAACACATACTGTAATAATGTAGAAAACCTTGAAGCTGGTAAAATTAATAGAAAGCATAATTGTCCAATCACTTTTCTGATATCTGTCTTCTTGCCTACATTTTATCAAATTAAGACTTCAAAAGCAACACAACGAGGCAGGCTTGAGGAGCATGAAGATCCTGGGTAAGAGAGAGACAGACTACAAACTATGGCACCACAGCATTTATTTGCAGCATGACCACAACATAGCCCAAAGATAAAAAGAACAAAAAAATATTCAACCTGTACATGGCAAGAACTTTACATGTTTAGCCTGTGATTTGGTAGTGAGAATTAATACATTCATCCTAAAACATGTATTACTGCCATTTCAACACAACATGTGCCACCTAATGGAACCACATCTTCCGCAAAAGCAACTGGTTTTATGTTTCTGTTTCAGAAGCTTAAAATTGTATAAATAAATTAACAATGCCCTATGTCATTTACCTCATTAAAGACTACCTCAGTTGTGGTTTGTATCTTAGCCAGGAAGTTTACGTGTGGCTTATACATACACTGCAAGCACTCCACTAAAATCTTTACAAAATGGAGCTGTATCAACTTACAAAAGTAAAGCACAACACTTGTGCCATAACAGTATTATGCACTGCTGGGTTCATTAGACATTAATAACAACTAAGTGATCATTACCAATCACAGTATCTGATCTACAGAAAAACTTCTGATCAAATCAAAGGAACCACACATAAAAACAGAACTCAAAATTAATGGTTGAAGAGTTTTATACTAGGAAACTCAGCATGCAGAAATCCAATAAGCAGCACTAACAAAAAACAAAAAATCTCATTACCTTAAGAAAGAATCTCTTATCTGTCCTAACAGGATTGTAGGAGGCAATGTAAGCAGCTATTAGAAGAAATTTCGAGTAATAAGGAAGTTCCACATGTGTATGTGCAGAAAGTCCTATAAAATAAACACAGTTTATGAGTTACCAAAACCCACTCTAAACATCCACAAACTTCAAATTAGACTTGTTTGCTTTCTTTTCCTTCTCTTCTGCTCTACTCCTGTAACTAAATGAGCATGGCTACTTTCTCAACCCTGTTATCACAGATATAAATTCAGCGAAGGGCTCATGAATGGCACAAAGCTAAAGAAAACTAACATTCTGAACTCTTTATGGACTCATCTCAGAAACCATATTTGAAGCATCTGATATTCATAAATCACTAAGGTGTGATCTCCCCAAAAAGAAAAAAAAAAATCCAGGCTACTTTCATTTCAGGTAATTTTTCTGGAAAACAGGGCACATGAAGAGATTTATTTAAATACAATGCAAATCTTTTCTCCAAGACCCAACCTTCAGGCGGATGCAGACTGTGCCAGACAGCTCAGCCAGGAAGAGGGCTGGGATGGTAGAAGAAAGAAACAGTGCTGCAGTTCAGAAAAAGAGTTCATCATTTCACAATTTTTAGCCACTGTTTTATTTCCTACAGAAAATGTTTTCAAAATTTTAAACTTGATCCGGTTGACCTAGCCTGCTACATGTATACTTCATTAAGATTACAGCCTCACACATTACAAACACATAAGAACTACACTTCTGTGTAGTCTACTGAGTATTTTCCTTCCCTCCTTTTACTTCATATTTTTCCCTTTATATTCCTCTGCTCTGGTCACCTTAGTTGCTTCTTTTACACAGCTTACATATATGAACAGGATGATCAAACCACCTGACTTCATCAGCTCAGGATGATCAAACCACCTGACTTCATCAGCTGTCTAACTATGGAGACTACTAAAGGATCTCCTCTTGTGTCTTCTTTGCTCACAGGTTCTCACTTCAACGGTTTCTTGTTCTATTAAGTACCTGTACCTTTACACTTTAATCCATAAATACCAGCAAATAAAGATCAAGGAACTAAACATGTTTAAAAGTTAAGATTCAGAGCCCTCAGTGTGATGAGAAGCATCCTAGATGATAGCTAGTAATAATTTCCCTCTCACCTAGGCACAAAAGGACAGCGGTTTTAGCATTCATTTGCAATCAAGAGACTGTTTTGTATTGCATGTTAATTACGAAACCCACCACCAAATAAACTCTTACATATAGACAATTTAGTTCAATAGAGAAATATCTGTTCCTACTCCATTCTTCTGGTCTGCCAATATTGCATCACGCACTGAACTATTTGCTTAATCACATCCACAGTAAAATTTATTATAATTGCTTTTTGAGCATGTTATTATCAAATGCTGTTTACCAACAAGACATTTTTTCCTACCAGATATACCTGAAAATCTTAGAAAATTAGTTTTAAATAAAGTCTCCCTTTTTGGGGTTGTCAGGTGCAAAAGTATTTCATGGTCACCTGGGCACAGAACAGATGAGTTTAAAAATAACACTTGGAATCAAACTCCTTCAGTCAACCATGTTGAAAAATTACTGATTATAAGGCAGATATAGGAAATAGTATGATTATTGCAATTATCTTAAGACAGCTTTAAAAAGTTGCTATTTTATTTACTAACTAAAGAAGAAATTATTTATTTGTCATGATGGATAATAGGGAAAAAGTGCCCCCAAACTAAGAACTGGTCAAAAGACTGTGATAGACTGACATCACCAGGAAAATGTTTTAGTAATCCTTCCTAAATTGTAAAAGAATACTGACAGATAATATTGAGATTATACTTTAGAAGGGATTGAAAGTCAGAAATCAACAAAGTTGTACTCCTCCAAGGAAAGAATAGAAAGAATTATTGCGATTCTTGCATTTCTCTTCACCAAGAAATAAGGACATAGGTCACGTTTTGTTCAGGCACATACTAATCCAGTGTAATGCATCAGGTGTAATATTCCCTTCTCCCCACTCGGACAATTCTGACAGTTGGCACACAGAGGTTTGACCATGAGGAGTCAGCCCATTCCTCATCCATTCCTAATAAGAAATACTGATTTGAAGAAACCTGCTTTTACCCACAAAGGAGCTTTGGCAAGATTAGTCCTAGGATATGTGCTAGGGGAAAAAACAGTTAAAGTCCTTTGTAGAACACCTAAAAAACATGATTAGCTTGAACTGTAACTGGATGCTGACAGGTAGTCTCATCTACGTAATTTCATTCACACATTATCAGACAACAGTGACCAAGTCAATCTGAAAAGTACACATCCATTGGTACAATCCTCTACACAGTTATTGTATCCAATACCTTTCAGCTGCCCAGGTTCTCCATCATCATGCTGTAAGCGCTCCCACTGTGAGCTAAAAGACAGATAATGCAAATATATAAAGATGAAGTATTTGTTGGTTTTTTAGAGAAAACTACCTGCTTAGTAGATGTTCATTTTATTTTCATTACACTGGCTAGGATACAGTAAGAGAATAATTACAAACACCAAGTCTTACTACTTTGCACATAAGTTTCAATAATGAGCAGACTATGCATGTTTGAAAAAAAAAACTGCAGAAAGTAATGTTATGGTTAAAGTAGAAAAGTAGAAGTGAGTAAATGAGAAGCTAATTGAAAAATACCAATTTATTTCCATCCAAATACCACCAGAAAGCAAATATCAATAGCCTTCTAAGTTTCAGGAACAACGCAGAATTGGATAAAAACACTGACAGTTTTGATTTTTTTTAACTGCTTAATAACTGTTTATCCTAGTGAGAACAATACTGTAATTACTTCGTAATGCAATTTTGAAGTCTACATAAAAAACAGAGCAATATTCATTCTTCACTGAAAAACTTTGAAGACATCAAGATGGAACATTTTGTCAGTGTAAAATGTCTGCAAGTAGTTTGGCATCTTCCTGAACAACAGCAAAATATTTCACTTTAAAACATCCCTTAAGGAATGACATCATTAGATATGTCATGATTTTAGATCATCATTTTGTATACCACAAGGGGATAAAAAAACCCAGCTTTGTTAAAGCACCAGTGATATATTTTTAAAAGCTCTTTATGAACAGTCCCTCAACTAAAATCCCATGATTTATTTACCATGTATTAGGGTTTATCAGTCATAAGCCATAAAACTTATGAAAACAATTTAAATGACAGCTGATGTAGTACTCCAATTATAATGAATGACCAACCAAATTATCAATCAGCAAAGTTTTTATACATTGTCTATTTTACATGTAGAAAAAAAAAAAAGCTTCATTTTAATCTCAGTTCATACAAAGTTCTATTGCTGTAGCTTACAACTTGAAGAAAACCCCAGAGAAATTACAGTTCTGTGGCCAGAAAAATTGATATGGTCATTTTAATTCCTCAAGCATTACTGGTACACAAAGGTAAATCCTAGAACTATTACATAGAAAGCTGAAATTTATAATAAAAAACCCAGTAGAGGCCAAGTTTATAATCAAAGAAAACTGTAAAGAGGGAAATCTAGTTATTTGGAAACAATTCGCAAGCTATTTTATATCATAATCTTTTATTACACTAATTAGAGTAGGCAATCACACAATATAAAAAGTCAGGAAGATCCTGAGTAGACTGTGTAATGAAGATCAATACTGCATATAAATACATATTTGAGGCAAACTGAACAATGTCTAATTGTACAGTGAAGTTGTCAAACTTGCATGGAGCAAAATCAACTCTCTTTTTGAAGGAATGATCACTTTTCCAAAATATTTAGCAAGAACTCCTATTACACACTCAGTTTCAGTTACCAGAATAGTCTATGGCCTCAATGACATTCAAAGGAAATAATTATGTTTGTATCAAGATAAAGAAATCAAACAGTACTGAATCATCTCTCTCTACATGGTGTAACATCAGAATCACTCATATTAAAGATGGAGAAGACATTAAATCTGAGTCAATTATTACCATTAAAAATGCACACAACCATCTTTTTTCTAGCAGTCTGGCGATTTAAGAAATTAACAAGGAATCTAAAATCATACCAAGAGAAACTCTGCCCATTAGCAGGACATAAGTTTTTAATGCTGTCAAATACAGTCATTCCATAAGGAAAATTTTTCCCTTGGACAAGAAAACAAGGGGTCAGAAAGCACAGTAAATATACAAACCTAGCTCTACTAAACAAAGCTAAGGAACACAAATTTTCAAAACCTTTAATGTCTCATACGAATTTTGAGGCTTGCATGCGTCCTTGGTACAGTGAGAATCTGTTAAATCAACTTTATAAGTGTGTTTTAAACTGCGCCTGTATATTCTGGTGATGGATTCCTATGCTTAGCATAGAAAATGGATCTATCTGCACAATCATCAGGGAAAAAGAGAACAAAACCTGCTGCCACTGCTTTACTTATTAAATATTTTATATGCTAGAAATACCATTTTGTTTAAAAATTTCCTCCTGAGAGGAAGAAATGCACGTTAAAGAGAAAAAAAGATTCTACTAGCAAAAAAGAAATACTAGCCATGAAACATAAATGAGAGAGAGAGTAAATATTTCGAGAGGAAGCTTGTTAGAAACAGCAACATCAACAAAATAAACAAGCCCTTGCCCCTCAGATTACCTGGATATTTCCCGGAGATAAACAGTTTGCATTGCCTTCTTCAAATGAGGTTCAATATTTTTCCAGAGTTTGCGGGTGTCACGTTCATTAGCTGCACCAAGCCAGAATCATCTGTTAAACATTTTAACTCACGCAACACTAAACTCCATCTCCAACACCTGAACAGTCACAGGCATGACACAGTAAACCTAACACCCTGACTCTGAAATGCTGGATTAGGATGACGCACCATCATCCATTTGCAAGCATATGCTACCATGCAAGGCTGTTTCTCTGTGGTGATTCTGAGATACTCTGAGGCAGTTTGACAGAACCGCTACTCCTATTTTCTCCTCTCAGCCTTGACAGAGAAATGACTTATCTCACTACTTTACAGAAGTCCTGGTGGTTGAGTGAGGAGAAAGATTTATAGGGGGAAGTAAGTTTTCACAGTATTTCCATCTCATTTCCATAAAAAACCACAAACAAATGTCATCTACTGTTTCTGCTGCAAATGCTGCCTACTGGGTGCAACTGGAACAAGCAATGCTGTTGTGACCAGAGAAATGGTCTTAACACAATGAGGACCAAAGCAAACTCAGCCACAAAACCCACAGGAGGGGACCCGCACTCTCATACACCTGCTCAAATTAAAGACAGAAACTTACCTTCTCCTCTGACCACTGGTTCACAATATTTAGAAAAATTGAGCGCTGCCTACAGAGAGTAAAAAGTACAACATATTAAAAAGCTGCCATAGATTCGATTTAGCTACAGAATACAACAAGCAGCATAATTCATTACTTTGCAAAACCATGAATTATTTTTCAGTCAATAATTATGCTGCATGCTTCCAAACATTTGTAAAATGTCACAACATTTCCATAGATTAAAATACAAACAGAAGTAATCTATCGCAGGTTACTTAGTTTTGATCTCAGCAAAATCTGTATACTGTACTCAAGGGTTGCATTTTTCTTTTAGTAACATAGTAATTGAGCATTTTAAATGCAATAAAAATGTTTTCATCAATTTTTTTTACTCCCCTCATTTTCAAATAAAACTTTCCATTCCAGGAGCAGTTCAGCATGTTTAAAAGCAGGCCACACATACTTACACACACACAAGCAGAAATTATTTAAAAAAAAAAAAAAAAAACACCACCACAAAAAAACCTGGTAACATATTCCATATTTAAACAAACTCCTTTTGCCTAGGGTAAGATTGAGATATTTTTGAGAAGGTTGTAATCTAGATTTTTTTCTAAAATGGTTAAATCAATATCACACTGAATTTTGTAAAATAACAATCGTGACATTTCATTCTCGTTTTGTCCTACTGCACCTTATTAAATCTCCATGCTACTATACAGAACTCAATTCAATAACTTCCACGTATAAAACTTACATAATTCCAGAATGTATTATTAATAACCATGCACAATAGCATACACATTTAAAGTCTCTATCAGACACTCAAGTTGTTCAGACAGCTGTATGTGTCTGCCATCACCCACAGAAGAGGCTTGTCAAGCACAATAAGAATTTAGGCTCCAATTATGTAAACCTTTTCATCATGTTGGTATTTCCCAACTCAAACTATTCAATGATTTTCCCTTTGTCCATATTCAATGATAAATCTAGACTTCCAGAGTTCATTTGGCAAAAACCACCCCAAAACAAAACAACAACTCTAAAGGAGCTCATCTCACCAGGTGCTGAAGTTCTTTCAGGTCCCTGCAGACCATGTAGAAGACACCAAGCAGAATATTGATATATGCAGCATAGAAATCTGCAGAATATTCTGGGGGATGATTCTGAGACAAGATCTTCTGCAGGTGTCCTGTTCAACAAAAACAAGTTTTGCTTATTTAAAGCTAACTTAATAAACTGAACACATTTACAAATTAAGCGGAAAGACAAACTATAATCATCACTAAAAAAGAAACCCAAGTCCACCAAAAGCCATGCTGGTTAAAAGAACCAGCAAATATAATGGAACTAAAGTGCTACTTTGAGATGTTTTGGCAAGTGGAAAAAGACAAGTCCTTTAGAGGTTGTGTGACTACAGACTTTTACATTCCAGCAATTATTGCATATTCCGGATTCTGTAAAATACATACTGATAAACATGTAAAAAAACACTCGGATGTTGTTTGACAAAGTATTATTTGATCCCCAAAAAGCAGATTAAAGCATTAGTTTACCTATGCTGTAGTCTGGAAAATACAAGGTGAATGGCTCAAAGCATCCAGTATTTGGACGGAACAGTTCCCATACTATTTCACTGAGCAGGACAACTGTCACGTTTCTGTCAGTCTACACAGGGAAGGAAAAAGAAAAAGAGAAACACAGAATGAAAGACAGGCAGAAAAAGAAAAAAAAAGAACACTGCATGTTGCAATATCAATGACAAAAATTATTATTGTGACTTTTCTGTTCCACAAAAAATCATCAAATTTACAGTTTAACACAAATTACTAACATAGTAATAAAGCTTCAGCTGGTCTAATCAAGAAGCTCATACATTTGCAGATTTTCATAATTACATGAGATTTCTCTGCATCCCTTGCCATTTCACTGACGTGCTTTGTGGGGTGATGGAGCTCTGGTGCTAGACCAAGTAGATTCCATCCCTTGCTCCCAAAATTAAGACAGCATTTTACTTTGGTAATTAAATGCAGATTTTGAGAAGAAACAGGAAGAGTTAAAAAGCAAAAGAAAGCTCAGTTCTGCATGAAACTAAGCTCTCTAGTACTTTATTTTAAATGTAAGCAGGTCTTTAAGAACAAACAAAAACATTCCAAAACAAAAACATAGCATCAACTGTGTACTCTACCAACCATTTTACTAGACACCAACCGTGGCTGTACATAGTAACATATTCTTTCTTCTTATTGACAATATACTTGCCTCGAGTTTGATGTTTCGGTCAATAGGTAATAAAATACTTCATATTAAAAAATATTCTTTATTTTGGTCATCCTTCAATATATCAGCTCATTAACATGAAGCTAACTATCTGTGAAGATGATGTGTCATTCCTCCTTTTTGCAAGGTATTTGCAACCACACTAAAAATACTGCATAACAAAAGACGCTTTTAAATATGGTTCAAGAAAGACATTTCAAAACTATGGAGGCACCTCAAGAAAATAAAAGGAAGTAACCTGATTGAATTGACAATGCTTAATATGAGCTGTGAATGACTTCAGAGAAAAGTTTAAATGCTATTCCCCTCCCTCCAAATTCTTACTCAAGTGGCACCCACACATATTCTTCACCGTTTCTTCTTTCTCTATTTTTATGGAACCTTTTTTTTCTTTTAACAAGTGAGCATCTTTCTGTAGATTCCTTTCAATTGTGTTCCTCTCCCAGATTTCCCAGCATTTCAGCTGAGAAAAGTACTAAGGTATTTTCACTTCAGTTCCTGACAGACCTTCCAATATGAAAAATGTAAGTACTTCCCATCATAATCCTCAGAGAAACCAAGCATCCTGTGACACATTCTTTGCCCATCATCCCCCAGCCCCATGAAATCTTTCACCACTAATGAAGTTTCTCATCTCACTCCAGGAAAGGAAGTGATGCAGTAGCCTTGCTCCTACAACATTCCTCTGCAACATCAGCTGCACGACAGTTTTACAAAGCCTCAGTCTGAAATCCAGAATTTAAGCAATTGGAATCCCAGCATTCAGGAAAGCTGATAAACTTGTTTGGAGGTTACTTTTGAATTTGAGGATGTTTCTCTAGAATATTTAAAGCTTAGCCTATGTTATTTTAGTCCCTGAACAGCAATCATAGGTCTAAGTTTTCCTCCGTTCTGTCAGACAGGTTGGTTCTGCTTCACAGGCAGCAAAATCCAGAGCATGGGCAAATGGACAAAAAGAGACAGAAAATGCACCAGCTGCCAGGATTAAGAACACAGCTGTGAATCAGTCTTCATTCAGTAAACAGAGAAATCAATGTCACCAGAAGATTAAGAGTACCACAGAAAAGTCTTGAGATAACAAGTATAATTTCAGATATTTAGATGTTCAGACATATCAAAGTACCACCACTTCTGGTTTTGTCTTCAATTTCTTTTCAGAGAATTTTTCCTTATTCCAAGGCATAAGGTTTGACAATTCAAAAGCAAGAGAGGGAAAGATACAGTGGTTCACTCCAATCAGAACCATACTGTGGCACAATTCCTGTATAAGTGTAAAAACTCTCTGACATAATGAAGCACATTTGCAGCTGCTGAGCAGTTCAGCTCCAGCCACAACCAGCTGGTGGTCCATCCTCAAGCCAGCCACTATGCAATGTTGTGAAGTTGCACATGGGAGAAACTTGAGGAAAACCAATATTTCCTGAGTTGCAAATTCATGCTTCTGATAATGAAATCACTCAATGTGGTTGAGCTCTCTGAATCAGCAGCTGACTCAGCAGCAGACTTTGGAGTCCCACACAAACACCTGCCAAACTCTGAAAGTGGTTTTATTTATTCATTTGTACCAAGTCAGTAGGAGCTATGTTGAAGCTTCTCCTTACAGTCTGCCTGAGATTTTTTTTTTCTGCAATTATTATAAAACTTTAAATGAATAGTAGAAAAAATTCACTTTCTTCTCAAAAACAAAAATATTCCAGAAAAGACAGCTACATATCTGATACCAGCCTCAAAAGAATCTACAACAGATCACATACTGTAAAACTGTTAAACTATTAAATTGTTATACTACTAAACAAAATTAAAATTTTAAAAAAAAGAGTGTAAGAAAAACCTGCCAATGTTTAAATTCTGTTTTGGTTTGTAGTTTTAACCATTGACATTTTATTTGGTGGGGGTGGGGGGTTGAATTTTGCAAGTCATCTAAAGAATCACTCATTTGATCTCTGAGCATAGATGGACAGATACCACGTGTTCAGTTACTTCCACTATGCAGGAAGTATCCGTTAATTTTTTTCCAGACACTTACCAATTCTTGAAGCCTAAGAAACGCTGGCAGGATGTTAGCTTCCATTTCCCTCAGCTGCTCTGCTCTATCCAGTACCTTTAAACAAAACAATGATCTTACTATATAGACAATGTCAACTTCCATTCTCACGTGGACTTAAAATTAATTCTCAGCTCTTGGAAACTCATTTCACCAACGGCTCTTAGACAGCAGAAACCACTTAAGTATCAAGACCCCTTAAACAAGCAACATCTGAGAGATGATTGCTTCAGGTGAGCTTCCAGGAAGCCCCAGCAGCTCTGCCATCTAAAAAAGATACAATCCCCAGGCAAGCCACATTCTCATGCCTTACGCCAGTAAGAATTAAAACATAAGTATACAACTCAAGAATATCACTGACAAAGCCATGCTGTCATTAACAACCCTTGAAACCTCAATTTTTGCCCAAAATTCTTCTTGTATTTAAAAATTCTGTGTAGTACTGTAGCACTATATCAACATGTTTACTTGCAGGAGAGATATCTTTTCCCACTATTAAATTATTTTTCAGAAACAAATGAGAGCTGATATTTTTAAAAAGTTAGCTATCGTCTGGAATTCACACAACTGAATTTTGAGAGAAACTCTTCTTGCCACAGTTTGCAGCCTATAAGTTTACAGAATTTATTGCATTGTATGCCAACCTCATATAGCAGTAGCAGATATGTAGCACACGTACAGCTTTATGTACACTTTATGTAAAAAAACTAACATTTTGGACCCTAGAAGAAAAAAAAAAAACAGGAGCATGGAAACATGCATTGTTATCTTTTGTCAAAAAAAGGATACACTTAAAATCTTGACAAAAAATGAAAAAAAATATAATAGAAACACATTTCTTTTGTGTTTTACTTACTACCCAGAATGTACATCTAAATTCTGAAGTTCATTACTTCTTTTGAATTACTGCTGTTGAAAGAGAAATTATAAGTCCCTAGAAAATTATATTTTTCTATCCTTCTACATTTCTTCCCCACACCAAAATATTAAGACATCTATCATTTCTGTTGCCCACAGTAAGAAAAAGAATTTTATGTGGACAACCAAGAAACATTTAATGAAAATGGTATTCCAAAAATCACACTGTACAGGAAAAAAACCTGAAAGAGCAGTATCTCTGCAAAAACAGCTCACGCTTCTTGGGAATTTATTTAAAACCACAAAACAACATATGATTTTATACTGACATGTGCATTTGGTTCATATAATAAATTACTTCAGGGATGAAGGCTACTTTACAAACCACTGAACAAATAGAGGCCACATATTTTATTAATAAAATACTGCTTCTTGGACCCGGTGACATGCAGCTACCTAACACAAAGCTTTAAGGTCTTGACCTAAGTAGATCTTACTTTTTAGTTAAGTGGGAAACAAACTAGAGTTTCTCCTTACAGCAGACAAAAAATACTTTGGCTTGTGGAATATGTCAAGTGGTTCACAGAAACAACCTACCCACAGGCCCATAAATCCATGCCTTATTCTTTAGTTTTAATATAGATGTCACCCTTCGCCTTTTTTAAAAAACTATACATTTTAGAACTGTCTGCTGATTTACATTAAAAACAGCAGCTTGTTACTTCTGTAAAGTACTAAATGTTGTAAATGTATGAATGACTAAAAGTTATATCAGTTCAAATTTTTCAGGTAATTAGAATTAATAAATTCCTTTTTCATAAGTAATCACAAGCATTAGCACCTATGCCTGGGTTAAGAGAAACATTTAGAGTCCTTTGCTTAAAAGTAAACATTTATCCTAACCTGCTCTGAGTTAATTGTGTGGAAATATTACTTTATTTACTACGGAAATGAAATAGAATAAATTAGCATTAACAGTTTATGTCACCACCATGCTGGTCTTCCATCAGTCTTAAATTAAACCACTCTACAATAAATCCAGATGACATGGGTGAAGATACATTAATTGATTTTCTCCATTCCTGTCTGTTCCGATGCAGAACGGAACTGAAATACTAATTTAATACTTAATTCTTCTGATTCAGCAACTATTTACGTGATACAATTGAACCTTTCTGGGTATTTAATGGTTTGCTTTCTATAGCCATTGTTCAGGAACTTTCTACTTTTTGGAGTGATACTAATATTCACATAAAACACGAAGCATTTTTTTACTGATGTAGAACAGGTTTTTAATTAAAATATTAATCTGAAAGTAAAATTTTACGAAATTTGTAAAGTATTTTGTGAAATTTCCTAAAGGTTATTTTAGTGCTAAATGTTGTTCTTACGGAATTGTTGAAGGATGCCAACAGCACTTTTGTGACAGTAAATTAAAATCATTTATCTACGTATAACTTCTTATCTATTGTAAGTATTGGTGCATTATTTATTCATTGAATTTTTAAGCAACCTGTCAAATTTATTACCCTCATGAGCTGTAGGAAACTACAAGATAGCACTGTTTACACTAAGTATATAAAGTTATTTAACACAGTGGTTAAGTATTTTTAAAGGGAAATAAAACTTCTTTAACTATAACCTGTGAAACAGAATGAAGAATGTTCAGTGTAATTATGAATTTCTTGTTTGGCTGCAAAACAACAATGCTGGGCTGAAATTTCAGTCCATGTGTTTTGCAGGTCCACAATGCATATATACAGTTACAGGTCACTAATACTAGGGTGTTTGCATTTTTAACAAAAGATGGTAGACTTTATTCAACCAAGAGAGAGCTAGAAAAAACAAGTGGTTCTGAGGAGTCTGTCCTTTCTTCAGACCTTTTGTATGCCTGTGATGGACAATGCCTGAAATTTGTTTCTATGTCCATCTCTCCGCATGATAAATGCAGTTACAGATGTCTGCAAATTTTGACTTCTTTATGCAGTTAAGATTATCACAGAAAAAAACCCACAAACCCTAGCATTCTAGTACTACATTGATTCAATCATTCCTGTGATCTGATTATTTTTTCTGTGGTCTGCCTGTTTATTCCACTTGAGTATATATAATCAAATTTTTCATTGCAGTCTTTTTTTCCAATCTCAATTTTAAAACTGTAGTTCTTGTCTCTGAGGGCCACAAGTACAGATGAAGACGAAAGATCTCAACAGCACTTTTACAGAGGATATTATGCATTTCAGTTCCTTAATACAACTTCTAACTTGAACCTGTTCTAGCCAACCATTTCTTGTCATTTGCATGCTCCATAATTTGCTTCTGCCCTGCTTCCCACCTTTGCTTTCTCATTTGTAAAGCTGTCTTCACAAGGAAACAGATAAACATGACTTACTATTTGTGAAACAAATACAGGCTCTTTATATTTAAAGATTTTGTAATATTTATGTAATACAGTTTTTGTTTATAAAAAGTTCTAAAACCAGGAAAAACAAAGAACCTTATCTAAAGCCAGTAAAAACCGACTGAAAGAATCTAACTAGTTATCAACAGATTCTGAATTAGGTCCACGCGGAAATTTTGTGAAAACTGTTCTATAATGCACACATTTCACACACAAATAATTGATAAAAATTACACCTTCTTAAGTGAAAAGAAAGCAGAACACTAAAATCAAACTACTTACAATGTATAATGTTTGATCTTGAAGCTCTTGACTCGCAACAGCTTGTTTAAACAGACGTACAAAGTCATTGAAAGTATCACAAGGCACATGAGAAGTCTGTTCTGTCTCAGAAGAACAGCTTTGCAACTGGATGAGAATTTCTTCTAAAAGAAGTCGTGAAGTAAAGTATTCCACACAGTTCACAAACACATGAGGAAGCTGAAGAGGATAAAAAAAACCCACAACTTTATTTGGCTTTTTCAGTGTCAATACTCGAGAATCAGTTTGCTGTTCCAGATGAGACAATGAAAGAAACCACGCCTTGCCAACAGAATACGGATCACATACCAAAAAACATTACCAAAAAAGAATAATTACTTAGGTAACTAGACAGATCTGATGAATTCTCATGTGAAACACAGTGTATCTTCTATGTTTCAAAATCATGAGCAATACTTAAAAAGAAAACCAAACAGCATTTAGTTCAAAGAAAAGTTAGACAATCATAACACATTACAGTATTATAAAATAGTCCATTACAAATTACAGTGTCTAGATAACATGAACTTCTCAAACTCACAGTACAAAGAAAGTAATCTAGGAGCAAACTCAAAATTACTCTGAATGTTTCTGACATTCACTGCATACAAATGCTGAAGTGTAAGCTTCTACATCAGACATGTGTAATCAGCCTGCTTGTGCAGAACATTTTTAGAAAACCAGATCTTTTCAGAGCACAGAGCATGTGAAAAAGGCAGAGCATGAAACACATTTTATGGCAATCCATAAAATGTACTTGCAAGTACCAATTTAGTAATACTGAAAAGTAAAGGTAATTTGTCTATAAATAGAAGACACTATAGACTACAAAACAGTACGAGAATGCAAACCTACACAAGGCAAAAAAAGTAATTTTCTAGCAACTCTATTTTTAAGAAACAGATTATTTCCATAGCTCCATACTCTCCAACAAGGCATATGTTCTTTTTTTTTACACTGAACACTAAAACCTCTGGAAAACATTAGTCATTGGGATACATATGCATTACTTGCAAAATTAAACTTCTGATACAGGCATATGTGTGTGTATGTATAACAAAAAAAATTATCTGAGTACTTCATTCCAGTCTTTCTACTTAAAATACAATATATGGCATATGATTCAGCAGATGTGGGAAAGTGTGGGTATATGCTGGCAATCCACTCAAACAGCATGTAATAAGAAGCTTTCTTATGATTTTGAACACTATTAAAAGAAAGGAGCTACACCTCCGAAAGCACCTATTCAAATCGCTGCACCGCCACGGCAGAAGGAAAGCTGGGTGCCTCAGATGTGATTCACAACATCACATTATGTAGGAGACAGCTATGCTTGGCAATAGGAAGTTCTGCAGAAAGAGTTGCTGCTTAAATACTATTCCTTTCCAGAGTCTTTCCACATCTTTGGACATGTTGCTAGCAGGTAGCACAGCATTAGAAGCACAGCACAAAAGGCTACTACACGAAAGAGGATCATGACCACTGTCTTCCACCTTTCTCCCTCTGCAGAATTTTTAATGACAGGCACAAGATCACTGTGTTTTGCATAAAACCCAGTCCTGCAGATACATTGTAAGTGCACTCTGGACACACACACAAGTTGAAATTTATGGTTTAGGCATGAAGTAGGCACCCGTCATTGGACTTAAATCCCTGAAGCATGTGACTGACAAAAATATAGGCTCTAAGAGGTTTAGAAAGAAATTTCTGTGACGACAACCTTCAACTTAGGAGAAGTTTAAAATCTGTTTTGGGAAAAATTAGAATAAGGAATAAAACCAGCATGAATACAGACATTCGCTAGCAGAAAAAGAAGGACCACATAAGTGGCAAGAAGCTAGTACTTACAAGCCTTCCACCACCGCTGACAAGAAAGGGATTGAAATGGAGTTAAGGCCAGACTTCTCTACATCATTCTTCAAGACTACCATTTTTGTAAGAAACATACATTCAGTCACAATGACTTACTACTTCTATGTAGTTCAGATTCTCATGTGAGGTTTAAGGAGTAGGTTTCTCTGCCTGCAGTTCTTGCAACCGAAGTGAGTTCATTCCTGACAAAGTACTTACCTCAGGTTAGTAAAAATATAAGTCATCTCCCAGTGGACAGCACTAGAATAGTCTTTTTCCTTAACAGCTGAGTGGAAGAGAATTTGTAGTCCCAGCTTCCTAGGAATGTAAGGCTCCAGATTCAAAGCTGTACAATGAATTCTCAGTAGTTTCCACTCCACGTATTCCAACAACATCTGTCTCATCAGTCCTCCTTGACCTACTTCTTACCTACTCCTACACTGTTTTCTAAGAGCAGGAACCCAAAGAAAGTTTATGTTAGATGGCAAAGCTGAAAAGAACGTACAGTTCTGACATTTATGAAAGTGATGCTCATACAGAAGGAAACAACAACAGTACTGGCATGGGAGAACAAAATCCATCCCACCAGCAACAGACCTGGTAATGACCTGGTGTTTAGTAAACACAAACACACCTGGGGAATTAATTTTATTACATTAGTAACTGTGAATGGAATCCTGTTCCTTGGGGTTTCTAACCTATGATGCATACCAAGCTGTTTTTTGGAGGATCTAAAATAAAGTGCATAAAATTCATATTTTCAAACAGGTTCTGAAAATATAATACTAAAAAGGGCTATCAATACACTTTTTTCCCCCATTTAGAGCTGATTCATTAAGCAAAAGAATAACTGTTTATTTTTCAGGAATTAAATCAATTGTTCCTATGCAACATTGCTCCAACATTTTTGAATTCCTGCATTGTTTCTTTTTCAAAATGAAAGACTGATTTTCCTGTTTCTACAAGAGGGCTGACTGGAACTAACCAAATTTGCTGCAATTAATTCCCCTCAACTCTGCAAAAACAACTATTGGCATCAGAAACAATAGCAGTTGCCTGATATTCAGACAGCGATTTTCACCATTTGAGACTCACTTTTTTTTTTTTTTTCCCAGCAAATATGTATAGCTTGTATGTTTGGTTTAAACGCTTTTAACAACTTTACTAAGTTTAAGCTCTTACATTGACATTTAAATATATCACACACACATCCAACTGAATATAATTGAGTTTGTTAACACAAAACAAATAAAACAAAATTCCATCACTGGAATCCCTTCTCACTGTTCTTTATATACTCTCTCACTCTCTTCATATACAACTACAATTAGTTTAAAGGATAATTATAAGATGATTCAAAAAAGGTATAGTACAAGTGCCTCTCAGACTGAAATCATCAGAAGAGTACTTACTTGTCTCTGGAGATATTTCAGTTTAAGTCCCTTTCAAAGAGCTGAACAAAATTTGGCTCCTTTTTTCTTTTTAAACTTTCTTAGAAAAGTAATTATGTTTTATAGTGTATCTCAGTATGTACAACTTCATTTTATCCTAAGTGCACTAGTATGAAGAGCGATGAGGTCATCACACAGTAAGTGGAGAAGAATCAAGTAGGCAGAAGTGGCTGAGGAAACAAACCATTCTGAGCAAGTAGAAGCTAGTTTGAGGGACCATCCACTATAAATAAATTCTAAATTCAGTATCCATTGTGAACATTCTTACCTGTAAGGTGTTCAGAAGAGTTTGCATCACATAGGTCTTTCCACTAGATGTATGTCCATAGATAAAGATGGATGGAAAACTAAACTGCTGACGCTAGGGGAAGAAGAAAAAAAAAAAAAAAGTTGTTGCTATTTCAATTCTTCTTCTTCATTCAACAGATAAAAGATTTACCAATGAAGTTTCCCTCCAAAGAAAAGTTATCTTTTAAATTGAGGCATTAAATATAAAATAGGCCATTATTATGGACTCAATGTGTTCAAAGTTTATGTTTATCTTCATTGAAATGGTGGGAGAATAAGTCCCAAGAATTAAGTATCACATAAAGCTCCCACTGAAACTGCCATAACATGAGGATACATTTTTCATGGGAAAAACAAAAAAACAAACAGACCACACACACCAAGAGAGAAAAGCAGTGGGCTGTTAATTCAAAGTAGTTAACTAACAGAAACAACTCCTTGGCAAGCACAAATTGCAAGCTTACGTTGTCCTAACTTCTGCAAACACTACAAACTGCTTTTCTTTCCACTAGCACCAAACAGAAAAGAATTAAATAGTTTGGTCGGGGATATGGTAAAGGAGCTTGCTCTTCTCTCACAAGGCAATTTGATATAATACTGCTGTTTATTTAACATACTGATGCTGTATATTTCATGTATATTTCATTTAATTTCATTTCATATTTATGTTTTTAAGATACAGTGAAACTTGTTCATTTCATTCTGAACAGGTATTTACTTTTGTGTTTTTCTCCTCTCTAAGAATCTTGTCCACTGACTTAAAAAATAAATACAAAAATAAATTTGAAAACAATCTATGAAAAATGACAATATTCAATTAATCCAAGCTGAAGGCACTCTCGTGCAAGATACGGATACTCTAACCTGCATATTTAACAAGAATTTAAGTATTTTTAAGACCTGTTGCCACTATGCTTGTAATAAATACATAAAACTTAAATGCTGTAATTTGATGTAATTATTATTACCTATAATTAAAGGCAGAACCAGAAACAGTTACTTATTTCCATTTTGTTAACTGAATGTAAATGGATGTATTAACTGGTTTTAACTTTGCAGCTAAAAACCTCCATTACCTTTTACCACAGCTTTGACAAGCAGTAACAGAATCAATTAACAAGTGTCTTGGTGTCAGGACCACCACCACCACGTGGTCGCAATACCGCCTCCCCCCCCACTCCCCTCCTGGTAAAATGGGGAAGGATAAGAAAAAGTGGAACTTCGTGAGTTGAGATAATGACAGATTTTTAATAATACCACACGAGGAAAACAAAAGAAAGGAGAATATGACAATAAGGCAAGATATGGAATACAATGGAAACACTGATACAACGAAATTCTCACCACCAGGAGCTTCACAAAAAAGACCCCTCTCCCGGCTAGCTTCCCCTTATATCCCGGGCACGACCTCAGCATGGTATCGAATATCCCGCTATGCCCAACTTCCAGCTTCTGTGAAGAATTAACCCTATCCCAGCTGGACCCAGGACAACAAGCCAGTGATTTCCAAATCTTATGGCCAGCAACAGAACTACTAAGAATCAGACCAACTTCATGTACTTAGAATTCAGGCACGCAGATATTAGATTAACAGGTCAAAACCAAACAGAATTTCTACACTGCTACTTAAAGAAAAATACCCCAGACCAGGGAAGAAGACAGACTAACTTCCTGATACTAACTAGCAAAGATCATAGAATCATAGAATCATTAAG